TGCCAATGTTCTGCGGCGTGCATTGCTTGTTTTTGACACTCACATGCTTGTCGGTGGCTGAATTTGCTAGTGCAAAACATGTGTGACTTGTGCCACGACATGTTATTTTGTGCTACGTGTAATAATGTAGTCGAAGCATGGTATGCACACGTTTTGGCACAGGGATGTACATGTACAAATTCAATGTACATGTATATCGCTCAGCTTGTGCTTGCCATGCTTCTACATACATATCGGTAGCTGATCAATCCTCTTCAATTTTCCATAGCACTTTGCTCAAATTCCGTTCTGCGGACGAAGGGGTGATTTTCCGTAGAAATACGGAAAAATACGGAAGGTTTGCAGCACTGCAACAGGATAAACGTTTTTTAAGGATTCGCAGACTCCATCGCAACAACCTACACATTACCTAGTTCAACCATTTCCTAACACAATGACACTCTTCCCTAGGAGCTGCTGGTGAAATGCACTGTGTCCTTGACTTTAATAATAGAGACGCATTCAAGTTGTCAAATTATTTACTGAGCATGTCGACAAAATGGTGTAATTCCGACTCCATTTCATTGTTGCTCGTCGCCGGTCTAGTAGACAAAAGGATTTTGTAACAGTACTTCCCAGCATTATAAAACATAACACAGCTGTTGGGTATACTACCAACACGTGACCCACATATCCTACAATTAGCCACGGCTGCTGCTGCTGGTTTTAGCCGTATACTATAGCATCAAGAGTACATAACCCCCCAGAGTGTGCAACGCCTGATCCAGCTCTGCATAGGGTCTTGGTCGAGCGTAATTGGCTCTTTGCGTCATAATATCGTATAGATCTGATTCCGGGCACGTCCCGGTCGCGAGCAGGACACGAGATTGTAATACACATAATACCAGCACCCCGTAGCACCCGTACTGTTTGTGCATTCCAGAGTGACTTTTCTTCACCAAAAATACTCCAGACTCTCGACTCAAAGACAAAGGTGCCATGCCTTGCGCTGGTGTGGAGCGTAAACCGTGATGACATCAGAAGATCCGACTGCGCTCGACCAAGACCGTATGCAGAGCTGGATCAGGCGTGCACACTCTGGGTGGTTCTGTACTCTTGATAGTACATGTACGAATGAGCTAGCCAGACCAGCATCACACCAGTGCACTGAGAACAGCTGTAGGTCATGCGGGCCACTATCTAACACAGGTACAGCTGTAGGTCATGCGGGCCACTATCTAACACAGGTACAGGTGAACACACTACACTACAGTCTACACCAAGCACCAAGTCACAGCAAGTGTGCCTATCCAGCAAGTGTGCCTATCCAGCAAGTGCGCCTATCCAGCAAGTGTGCCTATCCAGCACGTGTCTTTTAGACTGCTTACTGCTGATACTGACTGAGACTGAGACTGAGACTGAGAGCAGATCTACACCGAAGGCATGTTTACGGGCTGTGCTACCTGTATAAGCTGCAATGCATACCAGGTCCAGCTCTGCTTACCAACATGGTACCTCCCCCAGCAAGAGTCAATGCTGCACCCCGGACGCGCCGGCAACGCCAGTCCCTCGGTGGCCACTCTTTTCAACTCCAGCCTCCAGCCCAGAGTTCATCAGCCGCTCCTTCCCATACTTTGTCCTGGAGAGCTGGAACAGGCTGCCTGCCCCAATCCTCGCCGATCGCCCAAATCTCAAGAAATTGCCGACATTCAAGACCAAGGCCTACCATCACCTCTGCCAGACCAATATTAGCTATGGGCTACTGGCGTCCACCAGCACTGAGAATAACCGGTTGTCTCTATTATTATCATTTTCTGTTTCTCTCTCTCACTCACTCTTCCTCTCCTGGAAAGCTCCTCATGCCCATTTTCCTTCCTGATGCGTAGACCAACTGATGAACCCGAGACGGTGGCTAGATCGGGGGAGGTTGCCAGGCATGCCAGGCTCCTCTGTGTTGTCGATGTTCGCTTGTCCAATTTTGTCTACCTCCCCTTTTATGTTGCTGGCCAGTGCTTTGTAGTAAAAAAATAAATAAATAAACACGCGGCACATCATGTATAATCAGTATGAATCACTGTTATTTCCGTAGCTATGCAAAATATGTTACTTCAAAAATGTCTGGCGCTAGCCAGGGTCCACACAGCTTTAATTCCGTGTTTGTTTGTTTGTGCCATCGGCATGCCTGGCGCTATCTCGTACCTGTCCTGTATCGTACCAGCAAAGACAGCTGGCCACAATAGTCAAATAGGGCTTTCAAATGCAAGATCATTAAACATGAAGCAACTTGGAAGAATGAGTATGTATGCGAAGTGTATCGGGGAAATGCATGCAGGGCGATAGTGCCGGTTCGAATCCTAGGTTATGTCTTTTTTTTAAATAGGAGAAATGAAAATTTTATAACATCCCTACGCTTTTTTTGCCTAGGTCATCAAGGCGGTAGACGGTGTTGTATTACCCTCGAATGCAAAGTGAAAGTTGACTCTCGCTAGGCAAAAAAGCATAGCGTAGGGCCCTGAGCTTCCAAGCTCTCTCGTTAATCAGGCACCACACCCACGCCTACGAAGATCACAGTTACTTAGGGGGTATTCGAATTGTCTTCATAAACTGTTCGAACAAATTACGAGAGAGCTTGGAAGCTCAGGGCCCTACGCTATGCTGTTTTGCCTAGCGAGAGTCAACTTTCTCTTTGCATGCGAGGGCAATAGTAATACGACACCGTCTACCAACTTGATGACCTGGACAAAAAAGCATAGGGATGTTATAAATGTTTCATTTCTCCTATTTTTTTTAGACAATCTAGGATTCGAACCCGCACTGTCGCCCTGCATGCATTCCCCTGATACACTTCGCATACATACTCATTCTTCCAAATTGCTTCACGTTATTATTTTATTATTATTACACCTTCCAGTGGCTAAAGATGAATCAGTGCCAATATAGATGAGGAGGGGGCGTTTACCAGCCATGGCGTAGAAAGAAAGTGCTTCAGTATAAGAAGTGTGGTGGTGCACCAATACCATGGTAAGTAACAGAGGAAAGGTATGATCTTGCATTTGAAAGCCCTATTTGAATATTGTGGCCAGCTGTCTTTGATGCTATGGAATGGACAGGTACGGCATAGCGCCAGGCACAGTGTCTGCTCCAGGATTGTAGGACAGCCGGGTACACGTGTACCTGGCGCAACCATTTCAACCGGGTCGGAGCCGGGTACACATGTACGCCCAATGATATAAAGGCTAATGGATAAGCCGCATTTAGAAAAGAGAGGACAGGAATTAGAAAATTACGAAAGAAGAAGAAGTATCTGACACATACATGTACAAGCCATGTAGTCAGTCCTTTCAAAGTTCGAAAGTGTAAAGTACCAACCGGGTCACAGTTGACCCGGTACTATATTTTCAACCGGGTCCAAGCGCCGCCCAACCGGGTGGATTACCCGGCTCACCCGGCGCTGGAGCAGACACTGAGGCATGCCGATGCTGTCCTTGATGGTACGGTACGGGACAAGTACGGGATAGCGCCAGGCATGCCGATGGCACAAACAAACAAACACGAAATTACAGCTGTGTGGACCCTGGCTAGCGCCAGACGTTACTGAAGTACCGTAAAAGGCCGTAAATAAGTACCTGCCCGAAAGAAATACCCCCTTCATTCTTTTGGCTCTGTCTGTTGAAGTCAAGTCAAGCCCGATAAACATACTGCCCGAAATAAGTACCGGTACGGTGCGCACATGCAGCACGTAGCATGTACATCAACATGAAAATGACTTCTCCACTACACCCAAGTCAGGTCCGAAAGTTAGTTCGTGCCCGAAAGTCAGTACCCACCCGAAAGTTAGTACGGGTGTGGTCACTAAATTCGAAAGTAAATACGTACTTATTTACGGACTTTTACGGTAACGTCTTTTGCATAGCTACGGGAATTAAAAGAGATTTGTTAAGTGTCCCAATAGAGTTTTCATTTTAGAGTTTTTCAGTGTGATTGTCCTGGTGACAATGAAGTCCGATCAAATCGACCATATTCCAAACTCTTCGGAACTAATCCACCTCTCCCATCGGATGAGGTTTTGGAGTTTCGTTTTTCTGAAGAGGCCAATAAGCCACCTCTTCAGAAAAACGAAACTCCTCGAAAAGTCAAAGAGTGACAATTCGAACGCGTCCTAAGTAGCATGTACTAAAATCCCAGCTTCGAAAACGAAACTCAACCCTACACCGGCACTGCATTCAGCAGCCTGTCGAGTCGATGCACAGCTAGATTTTGCACTGTTTGCCGCTGGCTTTGGTCGCAATATTAATTTGCATTCCAGTCTGAATACAGTAGATCTACCGTGGTTACATCTTGCGTCACTTGTACAGCATGATTGTATTCCTTTACAGCGCTATCATGAAACAAACAACAACAACATGACACATGTGAGAAATGGTTGCTAACCTTGATTCTGAAACAGTTGTTCAGCGGGCTAGGTCGCGTCAGGCTGCATCTCCTGACCCAGCAGCAGCTGCTGCGTTAGGGACGGACGAAGCGCGGCGAGCAGCACGACTACACGTGTTTCTCTTGTCCATTGATCAGAGTCACACACAGACTGTGCAGGGTTGCCGCAATTATTGGACAAGCGGCTGCATGCCGCCGGCCAGGGAAACCTTATAGTATTATTAGTACATGTAGTAAACTAAGTTTAGATCGATGCAGACTTTCAGTTGCCGGCGAATACACCTGCTAGCTGCTATCAACTTTGGAACGCAGTGCAGTGCAGAAGTAAAAATACTAGTAACTGCTAACGCGGTTGCAACGGTGACCAAGACCTCACAAAAAGAAGGTTTACGCCTGCTCAAGAGTCAAGATTGAACACTGAGCGCATTTAGATACTAGTAGCATGATTACTCAGACTACTACACTACAGTCATCATGGTCATGTAGTAACTTCTGGCCATGTTGCGTTGCGCTAATACCACTGAATACTGGGCAAAGCGAACACCTTTTTTTCATTTTGATCCTTCCGGATTCATAGACTGATGCCCAACGGGAGAAGATTGTTGTGCGTGTTGAGTGTAGATGTACATGATTGTAGATGATCGTACTTACAGTTGCATCATCACAATGGTGCACTGCTCGTATCCCGCGCACGGTTTACGAATCGAGGTCACGGAAGCGACATGATGACAACTCAGCAGCATTATTACGTGATAACACTGGCCATTGGCCTGGTGCAGTGGTGGTAGATGTTGCTGGTGATGTCCAACTGGCAACTCTCCTGTCAGTCCTACCAGTCCTGGCTCTTCACTACTACTTCAGGCTGAAAGTGGAGCAAGATACAGCATTCTTGTCAGTTCAACAACGACAGTTGAGACTCCGAATTAGGGGAGCTTGACAGCTCGTGGTACTTGCAATAGCAGAAGCAGCATGCAGCAGCAGGGTCGAGTACATTATTGTCAATGCACACAATCATGCTGCATTTACCTGCTCGCACGCCGGTAACCAACGCTGAAAGGAGTTAGCTGCCTGTCATGGCTGCCTAACCTCCCTTGAGTCTTGATGGAACAGTGGCTGTCACTGCTAGTGTGGCTGCCAGCCACTACTTGAAGCCAGAATGCTGCCTCGTTCCATTTCCTTCAGTTTTCCTGACTCTGCGGTGGGTCATGGGCGCACCTAACGGACTCAACTGACAGTCTGTTTGCAGGGTCTTTGTAAGGGACAAGCTGAAGCACAACTATACCACTCTACTGAGTCTGTAGCTGTAGAGTGTAGTATCCACAGGCTGCATAGCGGCATGGCGGGGTAAGCAAGCATTACATACCGCCATACGGTCCAAGCCATATTATTATCATAACGACCTAGTATGGCCGCCCAGTGGGTCGCCCTCTAGAACTGACTCGGTGGAAGCAGGAAATGGCAAGGTCGCCGCTCGTTCTACCATGAAAATAGTACTGCTCGCTCAGTAGACCTAGCGCAGTAGCCATGGTAGCGGCCAACATTCTACTTTGTGTACACCACAGGCACTTGACTTGTTCTCATTCGGGCCAGTTTGGTGCGTAACCGTGTCCTAAAGCCAACCGAACACGATTACACCTCCTCCACCTCCAGAATATTTACCCAACTGGATAAGAAGCGACTACGTGTTGGAGAGTCGATAGCGCAGGATAAGGAGTAGAGAAGATATTGCAGAATTGGCGCAATACTGGGAGGGCTAGTGTGAAGCCTTGCAACAAGGACATCTGTACAGATTGTCAGTGTGATATCAGGTCACCAGTTTGTAGCTGCTGGTATTGTACAACCTATTTTCGGGCAAAATACACACCGTACTGTAGATCTACATGATTGTAGTCTGTCATGTACTACTACTGTACTAGTACGATCATGGTGGGAGCGCCACAGTAGCTACCGGCCCACAGGCACTCGTCTACAACGACACAACGTCACAAGTGTCAACGTTACCAGCTCCGGCCGGGTGTAGCACCAAAGCGTGGCACCCGTCTAGCGCCCATTACCATGATTACCCGCCTAGCGCCCATTATTACCCGTCTAGCGCCCATTATTACCCGCCTAGCGTCCATTACCCGCCTAGCTCCCATCTGGCCCCTAATGTGACCTACCGGTATTGCTTAGCGACTATTCCTTGCATGACACTTTGACAGTCAGTGGGGCTGTGGTGTTGCAGCTGTGGTTTGGATGTACAGTAGGGTACCGGGTGTCACTGTGTTTTGAAGCAGGGCCTAGGGACGGGTAAAAGACGGTGTTTTACTACACCCTGGTTCAAGCTGTGCACGGGATAGTGACAGTGTGTGTAGAGACATCTACATGTACACCAGGGAGTGGTAAAACATTAATGTTTTACCATTTTTACTACAGGTATTCCCTGATCTACACAAGCATAGAGCTGTCAATAGGCCCGGCCACAGTCACATCATGAACGGAACTAAATCTATACTACTGACCACCAACGACACGTCAATCTTCTGTGGCCGGGGAGGCAGCACAGCTTGAAATAGCGGACAGTAGAGTGGAATACTGCGAGTTTGAACTAATTCATTATCAGATACATGTACCAGTGTACGTCGTGTACGTCGTGTACAATTATTAAATGATGGATTGCAATCATTGAACATCTCATAGCATCTCCCTAATGAAGTTCAAGTGCGGAAATCGACCTTATTAATTGGTGGTGGTGCATGGTGATAATTATTTTACCCATTACTCGGCCAATAAGTATTGTACTAGTACTCGGATGGAGAGCAAAGGATTATAATTTAAAAAAAGAGAGGACGATATCCTGCTTACTGCTCACTGACTTGTCAGTTTGAGCACTCTGGTTTGGTTTGGTTTGGTTTGGTTTGGTTTTATTATTTCAGTTCGTTGCCTCAACAGTACAAAGTACAAATATCAAGAGGGACGAACGAAAAGAGAAAGTAAAACAGAGCAAAAAGGAAAAAGATGCAACTGAAAGGAAAGAAAAACGGAGAGAAACGGAGGAGGAGTGTGGACTGGGCGCCGGGACTCATGAACCATTACTAGAGCGAGGCAAGACATGAACAGAAGGGCATTGCCGCAAGTCCGTCGATATTTATGTTGAAAAAATTCCAAGCCTAATCTTATTGGTGAAATACATTTTCAAAAAGGAGGGGAAATAGGGATATACAAATAATCTACGTGGAGATAAAAGTTTAATAATAGCTATGAAAAGTATGAATGCCGCAGACATCACCACGCAACATGACAATTTGTTCAAGGTTTGGTTTTGTGTGTTTCCAAAATCGATTTTCACGTTCCGATCATCAGTGGAAATACGGAACTAAAGAGATCAAGGGAAAAACAAAGGTTAAAAATCCAAAGAAGTGTGACACATGACGGGTAACTTGTGGTAAGTATTACAAAAAGTGAGAACTAAAATAAAGAGTAAGTGTGACAAACGGGCATGAACAGTGCAGAAACAACTCATGAACACGGGGTGCAAACTCACGAAAATAACCTAAGTGCTAAAACATGTTCTTTTTGCTTACACAAATCGGGCTTATGCGTACGAATACAAACAGCTTCAAGGACCTTCAACTGCTGGACATAACGGGCACGACACAGTACAGAGAAGTGGGAATCATCAGACACACTCAACGCCAATTATTATAATATATCAACGCCAATTATTCAACCGAAATATATGCTAGGAATGGCCAAGGCCCACGCGGAGCATCGAAGGAGACCGGAAGCCGGGGGCAAAACGGAACACAATCTCGGGACGTAGATGAGGTAAGGACAGTGGCACGGGACAGACGTAGGAAGGAGAACATGGATGGTATCAGACGACTGACTGGTGGTGAATATGAGTTGGGTGATGATGCGGCGGATGACGAGAATACAGATGACGACGAGGCGGATGACGGCGAGGATACAGATGACGACGAGGCGGGTGATGACGAGGCAGCGGATGAAGACGAGGCGGATGACGATGAGACGGCTGGTGGTGATGGTGATAAAACGGACGAGGAGGAGTCAGGTGGCAGGGAAGGTGATGGAGCTGATGAGGGTGAAATTCGTAAGAAGTCAGCTGTGTACTTGCATTTGTTATCTCGTCCCGTTTGTTTGAGTGTGTATGATGATTCCCACTTCTCTGTACTGTGTCGTGCCCGTTATGTCCAGCAGTTGAAGGTCCTTGAAGCTGTTTGTATTCGTACGCATAAGCCTGATTTTGTGTAAGCAAAAAGAACATGTTTTAGCACTTAGTTTATTTTCGTGAGTTTGCACCCCGTGTTCATGAGTTGTTTCTGCACTGTTCATGCCCGTTTGTCACACTTACTCTTTATTTTAGTTCTCACTTTTTGTAATACTTACCACAAGTTACCCGTCATGTGTCACACTTCTTTGGATTTTTAACCTTTGTTTTTCCCTTGATCTCTTTAGTTCCGTATTTCCACTGATGATCGGAACGTGAAAATCGATTTTGGAAACACACAAAACCAAACCTTGAACAAATTGTCATGTTGCGTGGTGATGTCTGCGGCATTCATACTTTTCATAGCTATTATTAAATAGGGATATAGTCAATTTGTCGTCATTTAGAGCGTGCAAAAGTTCTGTAGAAAATGATCTAATGTCTTCACTTCGTTTCAAGTGAGCAGGGAGGGCATTCCACATAAGGGATGCTCTGGAGGAAAAGGAAGTGTACCCTACCATGGATTTATACAAGCAAATCGACAAATTGTTTGTTGTAGTTCCACGAGTTGACCGCTTAGAGGTGGGCAAAGGGAAAAGACCGCGTAAGCATGATGCAGGCTGAACAATATGACAAATAAACGTAAACGTAAGAAATTGATAAATGTATCGACATTCAAGGTGTTTTATTTGAAGAGAAGCAAGAAGGGGTGGAACAGCAGCATGGTGTCACTATGAAGCACCGCAGGTAACTCGTACAGCTCTACGGAACAAAGTAAACAATCTCTCCCTGGACTGTGCTGATAGGTGAGATGCGTAAACAGGAAAACAATACTGCCCAAAGTCGGGCTGAATCACACTAAGCAGGTACTGGCGACGGGCAAATGCTGCCATTTGGCGGAAGGTGCGTCGCAACGCGCCTATCTTGCGTGACACCTTGCTGGTGAGGTGATCTACGTGTGGAACAAATGAGAGCTTGTTATCGATAAGGATACCAAGGCAGCGAATTACAATCACTTCCCTCAAAGGTGGTGCCACCCAGCTCAACAATAACGGGTCTTTGGACGCCAGGAGCATTCTTCGGCAAGATCCTCATGACCACGGTTTTGCCCAGTGATCTTTAATAGTTCACTGTGTAGCTTAGCGAGAGCCGAGGACACGACATCCGGGCGCATACTATTGGATCTCGTGAGGAAGCGTACAAAGTCTTGTCATCGGCAAACATGAACGGCTTTGCACCGCTCCCTGCAGCCAGGTCAGGTAAGAGTCGCACATACATGTATAATTATGTTAAAAAGGGTGGTACCCAAGATTGTTCCCTGCGGAACCCCTCGGGTTACGGGGAGAAGAGATGATGTTCCAGAGTAGGCATGGGCGGGAA